AAAGAAAAGAAAAGAAAAGAAAAGAAAAGAAAAGAAAAGAAAAGAAAAGAAAAGAAAAGAAAAGAAAAGAAAAGAAAAGAAAAGAAAAGGAAAAAAAACACAGAAACACATACAAACTATTATTGATACCCTATGGGGGCACAGGGAGGATGGCAAAACCTAAGGAACAGAGCACCTGAAGAGAGACTGTGATTTTGTCCCTGGGGTCTGACAAAATCTTGAACTACTCTTCTTAGGCCCTTGGGACTTAAGCCTGCAAGCATCTCCATTGTCTAAAGACTTCAGACTAGAGGTCTGGAGTGAGGCTTGGTTTGGGGTTTTTTTTGAGGGGGAAGGGAGGTTGCTGTTTTGTTTTTTAGTTTTTTTTTGTTTGGTTGGTTTTTGTGGGTTGTTTTCCCCCTCCTCCCCCCAAGACAGGGATCACCATGTGTCCCTGACTGGCCTGGAACTTGCTTACACAGACCAGGCTGGCTTTGAACTCCAGAAATCTGCCGGCCTCTGGCCTCCCAAATACTGGGATTATAGGTGTGAGCCACCACGATTGTAGTGAGTTTGGGGTAGATTCTTTTTTCTTCTCTCCCCCTATTTCCTTTTTTTTTTTTTTTTTTTTTTTTTTTTTTTTTTTGGTTTTTCGAGACAGGGTTTCTCTGTGTAGCTTTGCGCCTTTCCTGGAGCTCACTTGGTAGCCCAGGCTGGCCTCGAACTCACAGAGATCCGCCTGGCTCTGCCTCCCGAGTGCTGGGATTAAAGGTGTGCGCCACCGCCCGGCTCCCCCTATTTCCTTTTATTGAGATAAAGTTTCACTCTGTAGCCCAGGTTGGCTCCTCCTGTCTTAGACTTATGGGCATGAGCCACCATAACCTGGCTACATGAGTGTTCTTTCTGAAAGTCGCAGGAAAACACAGCTAAACTGTTTTCCCCTGAAAAAGCAGCTCTTTTGTTGCTCACAGAATGTTAAGAACACATTATTTAATAGACAACTAATTTTCTCTCTCTCCTTTTTTTTCTTTTTTGGTTTTTCTAGACAGGATTTCTCTGTGTAACAGCTCTGCCTGTCCTGGAACTAGCTCTGTAGACCAGGCTGGCCTCAAACTCAGAGATTGCCTACCTCTGCTTCCTGTGTGCAGGGATTAAAGGCATGCAATACCACCACTCAGTGACAACTAATTCTCTTATGCTTTAAATATTAACATTTATTCCTGGCCTCCTTATCTATTAATTCCAGGAAATAGCTAACATCTGTTCAGTTTTTGCTGCATGCCAAATCCTTGACAAATATCTCATTCCCAACAATACAGAGAAACCAGCAGCAATGACCCAACCCTACATGGTAGAAAAAGGCCAAAACTAAGGAACTTAGCTATGGCACCCAGCAGACAAGCTTCTTTTTGCAGTGAGCAGTGGCTAATTAAAGACTCACAGCTGGGACTAGAGAGATGGATCTGCGGTTAAGAGCACTGACTGCTCTTCCACAGGTCATGGGTTCAATTCCCAGCACCCACATGGCAGCTAACAACTGTCTGTAACTATAAGATCTAACACCCTCACACAGACGTGCATACAGGCAGAACACCAATGCACATAAAATAAAAATAAATAAATTATAAAAAAAAAAAAAAAAGACAGCTGAGGGCTGGAGACATGGCTCAGAGGTTAAGAGCACCGACTGCTCTTCCAGAGGTCCTGAGTTCAATTCCCAGCACCCACATGGTGGCTCACAACCACCTGTAATGAGATCTGGTTCCCTCTTGGTATACATAATAAATAAATAAATCTTAAAAAAAAAAAAAAAAAGCCGGGCGGTGGTGGCGCACGCCTTTAATCCCAGCACTCGGGAGGCAGAG